TCATATATATTATATAATTATATAATTACATAATTAACAGATAATCCTTGTTTATTCCATCTAAGACAAGATACTTTCACTACAATGAGTAACAATTTTGCAATTGTGAGCAACATTTAGGAGAATTACAAATGGAAAAAAAACCATCTGGTGACTTCTACCAAAAAGAAGTGAAATGTCTTTATGTAGTATAACCACCAAATCAGATGGCCTCCCACGCCTTCTAGATGCTGCTAGATTTAAAGGTTATTTTTCAGTTCAGTCCCCAAATCTGTTTTTCTTCAATACCCAACAGTTGATCTCACTCATTAATGATGACTACCTTATCTAACTAGTTACACTGCACAAGCTCTATTATCTTTATTATTATTACTTCCAAGTTCTATTAAAATGATCATCTCTTCTTTTAACTAGCTTTCTTCAAAGACAGAGTTTCACAGACCAAATTAAATCCAGAAACAAGTTTGAAGAATTCTGATACTAGAAACTGTGTCTAATTCCACAAAAATACCTTCAAAACCCAGGAGACTATGGTTGTTCCTTTTCTCCCTTCAAAATGTACTCTGTAATCCAGACAATGAGTTAACCAACTGCCTTTCAGGAAATAATTTTCTTTGAACTGGGCAAATGTCTTTTTCTATATCTTAAAGGCAAAACCTGGATTTCTTTAGTGAAAGTGTTTGAAGCTAACTATCTCTACAATCACCTTAGAATTGTCTCTGAGATATCTGAGAGATTAAACATATTTAATTCCATTATTACCAAACAGCAGAAATTTAAAGATAAAGCCTTTTTCTTCAGAATTAAAATGAAATTATATAAAATATTATGCGTGAGATGTACAGCAATATAGTTAGACCAAAAGGAAGTCAGCAAGAGGAAACTAGATTAAATCAGTTGATTAAATAAAAACGAACAGAAAGAATTGTATCTTTGGTTCATTCTGTACAACTAGTGTGCTACAGATATGACAAAATTTACAGGAGAATTTAAAAGGAAGATTAAGGGAAATCTTTACTAGCAAGAAGTATGACAAAAATCATACCTATTTTGAACATTTTTATAGAGTTCATTGTGATGAAGTGGACTCCACCCATCTTCAAAACATTCGTTATAATTAAGCCCACAGCCAAGGTAAAAGGCCAAAACCCATTTCCAATCCAACCCACGCCTCCTGTTTCCAGTTGCTAATCTAGGCTCTTTGGCACAGATTATTTTCCATATCTAGTCTCTGTCTTAACAGCGAAGAATTCCTCCACCTAGTGCTATTAATATTGTTATAAGGTCAGAGGTTGAGCACCACCACAGCTGGAAATAAATGCTCAAGTGCAGCATTAAAAAACCTGAGCAGAGCTTGAACACTGCCAGAAATTTGGACAACATAGCTCAGCGCATCCGTAACGTGAAAGGGAACAGAGCCCCAAAAAGCCATCCTGCACCTTCACAATCACCATCTTCTCAGCTGTAGGTAGACCTACAGCTGAGAGACCCTGTAGACCAAGCACTGGGACGGAATTGTGGCACAAAACTACTACAGCTGTTAGTCTGCTAAAGAAAGCAGTTCTCTGAAGCAGGCTGTCAAGACACACAAGACTTATCAGAACCTAGCTAAGCATTCAAGATTAAGTTAGCAAGGTCAAAGAAAATAAGATGCCATGATATGAATACAAAAGGAGAAAGAGAAGGAGGCAAGGTGTGGTTAGCTGCATAAACATTGGAAGATCATGTGAACACCCACAATCACCTTGAACAGACTTCCTGCAAATAACTACCTCGTTGCTTTAGCTCCTTTCCATAGCACTGGATTTTTCAAACGGTGGCTTTCCAGTAAGTTGTTTACAAATGCTATCAAAAGCCCTCAGATTGAGTCAATAAAGTATATGTAAGTTAAGAAAGCAACACCAACTCCTAGCACCTTAAATTGCTCTTTAAAGATCTGCTGTCCCTAGGTGGCAACAAATGTGGCACAAATTAAACAGATAAGATAAATTAATTGAAACTTCTTTTTCAATTCTTGATACATTTAAAGAAAACACAAGCAACATCCTGTTTAAGACACCTAGACACAATTTGTACATTGCACATATTTGAGTTTTAAGGCAGTCATCTTATTCTTCAAGAGTCCAAATCTGAATTTTCAGCTTCCTCGTAACATAGCTGCATTAAACATTTATAAGAAAACTTCAGCTTTGCTTGGTTTTACACTCCAGGCAACTTCCAGAAGAGACAGGAAACAGGACGTTGGGGCAGGAAACAAAGGTCACTGATTTTATGTTTCAGTACGGCTTTCAGGGGCACTGGAGCAGATTAGTCTTGGGATTTGTTTTGGGGTGGGGAAGAGGTAAAGAATTCTTTCAGAGTTCAATATTGTTATCTCATACTAAAAAGACAAAACTGTATGCACACAAGAGTAACAAATACACCAAGCAGACCTTGAACGATTGTGAAGTACAAACCAAAACACTTTTTAAGTCACTGTTTTGCAACTTGAAGTTTTCTTCACACGTTACACATGATAAGATTGAGCAGCAGTTTACTACTCAACCTCCAATACATTTGGCAACCCTGTATGTTTGTAAAACAGGCTTAAAACAGAAGGTGAAGGTCTACTTTGTACTCATTAGCATTTTGAATCTTAAATTAGCTACTGAAACCAAGGAAGCAATTGTGAAACCACAACAGCGTGGTTTCACGCAGAAGCACATTCAGCGAGCAACACCGTTCAGGTTACTTCCAATGGAATTAATACATGAAATCTACTAGATTTAATTTATTGGTGTATCTTTGAATCAATTTGATCACTATAGGAGGATGAAATTACCAGGGACACAATGTTAAGTGTACTGTTTGTGCTGGGAGCAAAGAAAATACCTGGTATGTAATTGCTCTGTGGTTCAATTCCAGCTGGAAAGTTAGTGTTTTCAGGAATGGAATGGGTATAGTCATCAAGAGGCGGAAGCTCCGTTAGAATCTCTGTGTGGCGTGGCACTAGTACGGGAGGCAAGACTGGAAAAGGAAAATTCAAAGCATTAGTAAGACCCTCAAAATACACACTTCTGCAAGCTAAAGGGAAAAAAAAAAACATCTAAAGCATCTAACAATTTATTAACACGTTCTGAAAATTTCTGACTCGCAGTACTGCTAATATTGCAATTATACTGCTAGTTACTAGAGGAATCATATTCCCAAAGCATCTCTTGAGTAAGACTATTCCACATTAGCAAAGGTAAGTCATCTCTATTCTCCATTTCAGCCTGGACTGTACCTTTGCCAGCTGGAAACTGCTAGCAGTACTAGAAGTGTTTATGGGGGAATTAAACACATTTGTAAAGATTTTTCAATAACTTTACTATTAAAAGCTTTCAGGGGATGGTATTCTCAACAGCTGTATCTCTAAGAATCTTGTACTTCAGGCAAGAGAAGAATCATCTTTCTCTATTTTTCATTTAAAACATTATGCTGAACGAGTACATACAGATAGAAGCAGTCTTCCTACCTGGTGTCTCCACTCTCTGGTAGTGGTAAGGGTTTACACATACTTCATCCTTTTTAAGATTAAAAGCATATTCACAGTTTTCGATTGCTTTGAGTTCATGGTGACTGTGAAGATCTGGCCAGCGCCACAAACGACAGTAAATAACATGCGGTAATCCTTTACGATGAGATACCTGTAGACGGCCATCGAGAGATCTAGACAGGAAAGATGTTGAGAAGGATTTACAGACTGCATGCTGTCTCTTACATCACTCAAGCAACTGTGTACACACATGGGATGGGTAGCTTGTTTATTCTCAGAATTCAGCAGACTGACACCGTTAGTAACATTTATACTCTTGTTAAAAGGCTTCAAATGTGATAAAAATGGTATCAAGCAGTGTCTTAACTTATTTTTTATCTGCTCAAATTATTGCCAGTGAATTTAGAGTTCATTAAAGAGCCACTTCACCTTCAACCAAGTATTTAGGATGATTGCTTCATATATATATATTTTTTTAAAATGCAGAAGACAGTTGTTAAAAAAAAAAAATAATAAATTTAAAAAAAAAAAATCACGCACTTAATAGTCCCTTCTACTCCTAAACCTCAAGGCTTTGCTGTGGCATGGATGCTTTACGGCTTTAAGCTTAAGAATTCCCACACGACTAACAAATAAGCCTATAAGCAGTCAGCTGCCCAAGTGATCCACACGGCAGTATAACTGTAATGCAAGAAGCATGAATGCACATCTTTTTAAGGGCTGTACAGTTTATCTTCTTGACTTTCATCTGCCTTGCTACCAGCTGAAAATGTTTTGCTAGTTTTAAGACAGGCTGCATATGTTTACACAAATGCAGATGTTCATGATTGTTATGGGATGGGAGACAAACCTCAATACACAACTCAAGTAATGTGACATGAAAAAAATAAAGACCCTGTTTAGAATTTGCCCACCATTAACTACCGAAGAATTTACAAACAATTCTTTAGTAGCTGGTATCTGAGCCAATTAGCAAGATTTAACAGAAAGCTTGTGGCATACAAAGCAGTTTAAACACTTTGTAAGATTAGGTGTAAAGAACTAAGTATCCCAACTTTGTTAATAAAAATACCAAATCACATTAGAGCTTGCATTTAACAAGTCTTCCCATTCTTTCCATAGCACTGGCATGAAAAAAGGAATATTCCAGAATTAGAGTTTCATTGGTCAAAACATCAGCTGAGAACACTCGGATTTCTACACTGGCAAGCAAATATTTTTTAAATGCTGTACCATGAGAGCCCTAGGAAGCATTTTTTGTCTGTCTGACGGCTAAAGCATCCCATTACAGACCCTCCAAAGCCAATCCCTCCCACAAGATTTCTATGATGCGAGAGAGGGCAGAATATTCACCTGGTTTGTTCAGAGAAGCTGTAAAGGCCTGTTGTATCCCACTGATCTATCGTGTTTGGTGTACTCAGTCCCCAAATTTCAGAGCAAGTGCTGTGCATAAATTGAAAACAAACAAAAAAAACAAAAAAATTGATATGAATATGGAACATGGTTATTCAAAACACCATGATGTCAAACATGGAAAAATGCACAGAATACTTCCTTTCACATAGAAGATAGAGCATCATTAGACTTGCATTTAAACTGGTTTTTCATGCTATATTTTCTATATGAAGGAGGCTATCAAAATGGAACACGTGATTCAAGCTAAATGATAATGTTTTTAAAAGGTGAACAAGTTCTCTGGTTTGCAGTAGTCAATACAGTTGTATTTTGTATTAATGTTCCTTAAAACAGGCAAAACTTCCTCAGCCTAGCTCTTAACAAAATTCAGTTTTAATGTAGTTTCTGGGTTGGGTGTCTTGGTTTTGTTTGTTTTTAAACATAAGCTTTCCTAAGACTTCACACAAAGGCCACGTGCAGCTGAAACCGAACACGACAATCTAAAACTTTCAGGTACCACCACATAAGCATTAATCTCATTTTCCATGTACATACTAATTGCCAAAAAAAGTAGAATTCAGACTCTGGAAGAAAAGCACGTTGTAGCTGATACTTCTCATTGCTTTCTGTACTCCTTGGTTAAATAACTAAATGTTCTTTTCCACTTTATACAAACCACAGAATGTTTAACAGAGTTTTTCAGTACAGTATTTTAAGACTTAACTATAGAAAAATAAAACCTTTAATTGCTAAATCAAGCAGGAGGAAAGGAGAGACAACTAATTCTTTACCAAACTGGTTCAATGACAAGATCAGAAAAAGAAAAAGGAACCTCCAGTGGTAGACACAAACTAAAAGCAGCAGCAGGTTTAGGCAAAGCAAGAAAAGAGCATGGGCTGAAGGTAATAGCCTCTAAAAAGTTGCAACAAAAAGAATCCAAGTTCATGCAACTCCTCGTTTTAAATATAAGTGTTGCAATTTAAACTACTAAGCTTAGCTGATAGACTCACAAGTTTGGCTTGAGTGCTCAAGGGAAGAGAAGTGAGGCAGGTATTTTTATTTCTCCTCCCTACACAGGGAAAACTCATTAGTGCTATGAAACAAAAGAGCAGAGATAACAGCACTGTACTTAAAACCACTTTCAGGGCTGACAACCACCTCAATTCCACGGTGACTTAAAACAGAAGGGAGGGCTACTGACAAAGGGAACAAATGGTTCCTGTCCCCTTCTTGCCTGTCCTAATGCCATTTCAGGGAGGCTGAAATGTCCATGCAATTGAGCAGCAACCCAAATCAAGGAAATGGCTATCTGATCACAGAACATACGTGGCTGAAAATTAATGTCTTGGGAATTAATTTTCATCCAGATAAATTCTTCTGTTCGCTGTGGAGCTACACAAATAGTACAAAGGAGGAGCGAGTGTGTCATGTTGGGCAGCAGCCTGCATTTATCACAAATAGAAATGGTAAATAAAACACAGCTTTGACATTTTACTGATTATGGACACACTAAAATCTTGTACTAGATGACTTTTTGTCTAGTAGAGAGCAGCAGAGCACTACACATACAGGCTCACTCTCTGACACACATCCAGCTCTTCAAAGAAGCCAACTGTCCTGAACAAGTTCCACCCATCTCAGTCACAGGCAGCATCACAGCTCTCCAGAAACAGAGTGAGCAGAAGAGGGATACCGACCATCCCTGCATCTGTAATCTCTCTTTTTCATATTCCTAAAATGCCTCCAGGACAGTGAGCTGCCAGAAGCTGTGCAAGGACCAAAACAGTCGCCCTGAAGACACACAATCAGCCTGTGGGACACCAGGGAGCATCCCTGCGCTGTGCTGTGTCCTTAAATATGCACTGCTACTGCTGGTAAGACAGATCATCACGCACATGAAATTAGAAGAACAATCAGCAGCCACAAAGCCTGCTGCATATTAATTGACACAGTCAGCTCTGACAGCTTACTACCTTTAAGCAATGGATTTTATCCAAATTATCCAAAGCAGTGTTCCAAAGCCAATGCTGTCACACAGATTACACGTTCCCAAAATTGTGGGGTGCATCTCTGGTGTAAATGTGACATGCCACGTAGTTGCTGCTCAAAACTTTTAAGATAACACATGCAAAAGTAAAGTTTCATAGCCCCTGACAAAGCACAATGAACAGGAACAGTATTTTATATTGCTAACCTCTTCTCTTGAAAAATATTCAAACTATCAAAGCTGACAGCATACGCCATAACCTCCAAAAAGACAAAGAGTATCCTGAAGTGACTGTCTGACAGAGCAACAGCTTGCAATGGAACTCAGGACACCATGGAGGGAGGGCAGGCCAGGAGGTACAGGAAAAGTGATCAGTTAGAGCAAAACTGCTCCAATATTCAGCAGCTTACATGATATGCTGTCTTCCAGGATATATGTCTGCTCAGAGGTGGAATTAGTATCAAAGTTTTACTGGCTCATCTACATTAGTGGGACGGGGGGGGTTTAAAGTTAAAAGGGATCGAAAGAATAACTAATTGAGAATAGCTGTTCGGACAGTATATGATGAACGTTTGCCGTGCTTGCGCAGACAGGATGAGAGGATCAAAGCTGTGCTGATGGGGGAGGAACTGCTAACCCAAACGAGAGGAGAGAATACAACACCTGCAAGGCCACGGAGATAGGGAGGGCTGCTCGGCCTCTAAACAAGCTGGGAACCGGCCTGGTTCTTTGGACTGAGACCAAGAGACCAGGAGGTGAGAAGTTCAGCTCCGATGAAGACTCATTTACTTCATCCTGTGGACCACCGGACGACCCCCAGGCAGCACTGCGCAGGCGCAGAAGGACTCTTTAGCTCATTAGAATACGAAGCGGGGCTGGGTAATTAATATGAGCGGATGGATTACGAAACTTAATGCATACGCAACATTTTGGGGAATAAATAGAGGGATAGGTTTTGCGAAAAGGCGCGCATGTCTTTGGTGGAGCTATCCCCCATGCGTCTCAGCGCTGAATAAACTACATACCTACTGCACAACTTTCACGAGTTGTGGAGTCTTTCCGCTTCATTAGGACTATACTTCAACTCCAGTAATCCAGAACCAACCACTGAAAAGCCTGCAGGACATCATCCTGTATGATCAATACAGCTCAACACTGCTTTTACTGTTTACTAGAAGAAACACCTGAGGAAATAAAGTGGTCCACCCCTCTCCCCTGCTCAGATAAAAGACCCACTGCCTAAAAGATCTAAGATTCTCCCACCACTTCCTCCAGACAGTAAACTAGGGCTCTTAATTTTCACGCACACGCACACCAAATCAGAATGAAATTCCTCCCAATCACAAAAAGCATATTTCATACACAGCACTTCCACGAAAGGCCACAGTACGTTCATTCATACGCAAGCAATAGCCTGACGGAGGGCACACACTCCTACTCATCCCAGAAAGGCAGTGGCTCAAAAGAAAGTGACTGCATTCTGAAACATGTTTAAACAACCACTAAAACAATCTAAAATGGACACAGGAGGTACAAACTTTTTAGTAGTACAGAATTACTGCCCTAAAATAAATAGGAGGCATTCTCTCCTAAATCCACCTTCCTGAAGGTTCCTAAGCCTCCTGTGGTGTGAAGAGTCCTTCTATGCTTTAGTCCATTAAGAATTTAGAAGAATCAAGGACTAACATCTGTACTCCTAAGTGAAATCTCGTCTGGAAACATTCCCAGGCCCTGGAACATGATCACGTATGCTAGAAAGCAGCTAGGACATTCCCCAGCGCTGGGCTGTGCCAATTAGTGTTCTCCCACACAATTCCCAGGTTTGTGAGTCGGCATGCCATCGGGAACACTCGCGCTGGGCAGTTCAGATGAAGCCACCCTGCCCTGGTAGCTAAGAATTTAAGAGTACGGACAAGACAGTCCTGAGCCAGTTGGCCACAGTGCCTGGGAACATTCCCAGGCACATTTAATTTATTAAGAGGGAGGCAGCCAAGACATATCACAATTTCACCTTTAGAAAGCAGACTGCCCTCAAACCAAAGTCTAGAAGCACACTTTGGGTTTTATGTTTTACCAAACGGACTTTTTTTGTTTTGTTTTGTTTTAAATTCACTGTATACTACAGCACCGGTAAGCCATCATTGTTTCCAAAATATAATTTGGCTCCTGCATCCAAGCTGTTCTTAAATCCTTCCTGTGTAGACAGCACTTAAATATACTCCAAAATACAAGCTTAAAGCTAATATACTTCCTCCCACCAGAGCTGACACTTTCATTCCAAGGAGCATTTTCATTGCTGTTCTCAAAACAATTTGTCTGTTGACAGAAACGAGGTCAACTATACAAAAGCTAATATTTTTATCTTTTCAACACTATCTTACATTAGCAAATCACCATGTTCTGTGGCCTCTAGCACTCCCAGAGCAAGCTTGCTTGAATACAAGATTGCTGCTTTTGCAGACCTCACAAAATAAGTGAATTTATTATAAGGGACTTCACAGATACAAAGCATCAAATTGTCTCTGCTTCCCAGGTGTTTTGAAGTTCTAACAAAAGAAAAACTTTCCTAGAGAAATGCTCAAAGGATACTTGCAAGGAATAACAACTACCCTTTGAGACCCAGGGATTTTTAGGGAACAATCAAGGTCTAGCAGACATGCGGTTAAGCTCCTACATGCTAAACCTGGGACAACTCAGTCCCACAATTCCTATCTTGGGACTGACCAGAAGACTGATGTGGTGAAGAAAGGGTCAGACAAGTTATTAACGGTTGGAATCAAAGCTACTTTCGTCAGAGCCTTTCCCTAAGTGCAAAGGGTTGTAAGAGCTGGTGTTTCAACCTCATTTTTCATCTGCTTGTAAAAAGCAGCATCTCAGCTGATACTGTACAATTTTGGCAAGAAGAATTTTTAATGTGGCTATCAGCATGCAACAGCACACAGTATGCCTTCACTTCTTCCATTTCATCATTTCCTCTAACAGGAAAATCTGAGTTCCAAAAAAAAAAAACCTACTCTGGGCAAGAAATTACCTAAACAGCGAAGAGCTGTAGCAATGCTTC